CATGACGAATGTACGCCAATGTTTTTAAATACCGCCATTTGGTTATGTGAAAGCAGGGAATCAACTAAAGGGTTTGATTCTTTGCCGTTTCAGTTGCATCGGACGAGGATCTTTCAATCATTTTGAGTACTGTTTAGCATACATTGACACTGCATGAATTCACAAAACGGCTCAGCTGCATGCCACTCTGAAGATGTGTAATTGCTTGCCATCGAAGGAGTTGTGTTCGTATGCAATATTTTGAACGAGTCGTCTCGCGTCGTGTCCGTGACCATTCGACAGTTTGCAAGCAAAATATTGTTGAACAGTGACCGCAGAAAAGAGAAGCTATTCTGCTCTTTCGGCCCATTGGATCGCGTGCAGCCCATTGCTCCGCATGGTAAATGGTATGACCGATCGAAGCGCGCATCACTCTTTTGTCTTTTTTTATAGCTTGACTTATGACTTTAGCACGGGAGTAGCGGCGATTGTCTCAAAATAGCGAACCAATACAATATTTTTCTGCATCATTTTGCAATTTGAACGGAATATTGAGTTGCGTTGCCGCAGTTTTGAAGACACGCTGCTTTGAGATCATTGTTTTCTCCATCCCAGAACTTTACCTAGAAAATAAACTGCATTGATCGAGCAATTTGAACCGAATTAAAAAGTCTGGTGAAATTGTTTGGTCAAAATTCACTTGGAGTAACTGGAAAAACAATTTTTTCAATTGTAAGTTTAATGAGACTCAAATTTTTGAATTGAATTTATTTCAAGTTTTTTTTATGTACGACATCAGATGTCGATTAAAGTATTATAAAACGGAAACATTGTTATTAGGACTGTTCAAAATGTGAAAATTATTGGAAAAAATCAGGTTTTTACGGAGACGAATGTGCTCTTTTCGCCTGTAACCACAAATCTTGAAAATGAATAATGATTTGAAGCAAGAAAAGCTTCAAGCAACAAAAAAAAAGAACAAATGAATAAAAATGAAATATTTTTATTGAACATTTTGTGTTTTGACTTGATCGTTTTATTAGGTTGTGTTGGTTTCTTTTCTGAAAGCTGAAAGGTGAGTTGAATGTGGAACAAATTTGAAAGCTTGCAGTAATGGACAAACGCTGTTGTATAGTTACAACAGCATTTATAGTTACACTTATGAAGTTCTATCAAGTCGACCTGAATCCTGTATCGACAAAGATACATGAACAGGAACTGTTAGTTCAATAAATGGAATCTCTTTTGATTCGTAATACTCTTGCAAACACGTCAAAAATCAACATTTGCAACAGCGCTTCCTTAGAGTTGTTTACATTTTTTGACTTGAATAAAGTTCCCATAAAATTAAATTCTGTCATAAAAATACTTGTCGGTATCATAAGCTATTGAAAAAAAAGATACAAATTTTCTTTGCTTCTAATATTCTATCCAATTGAAAGAGAAGAGATCCTCAACGCTCAATTTGTAAAAAAACAAAACATGTCAAGTAATTAATTGTCTTCGTTTGAGAATGAAATGTATACCCGGGTGTAAATTTTTGCTACTGAATTGCTACTAAAAAGCATTGATGAATCGGACAGTTTTGCTTCTTTTTTCTGAATTTCTTCTGAATCCGGCGAAGCACTTCTGAATGCTCCTGAATTGCTTCGTTTTCATCTGAATTTCTTCTGAATCCGGCGAGGCACTTCTGAATGCTTCGAATTGCTTCGTTTTCATCTGAATTTCTCCTGAATCCGGCGAAGCACTTCTGAATGCTCCTGAATTGCTTCGAAATCTTCTGAATCTACTGAAAATGAGTGATGGTCCACGGTCAGTCGCGGTTTTCGCGAAGCTGATAAGAGATAGTGGGTTGGTGTCTTCGGCAAAGTTGTAGTACTCGAGACCTCCCATCATTTTGCTGAAGACTGTTATCTGTTATCTCTTATCAGTTGAGCGCAAATCAAAAACACACGCGTATAGCAAGGTTTTTATTCTTATCATTTTTCGCGTTTTCCGCGACACTGATAAGAGATAACTGATAACAGTCTTCAGCAAAATGATAGAAGGTCTAAAGTACTACAACTTTGCCAAAGACACCAAACTTCTATCTGTTATCAGCATCGCGGAAATCATCACCGACCGAAGACCTTACTCATTTTCAGTAGATTCAGAAGATTTCGAAGCAATTCAGGAGCATTCAGAAGTGCTTCGCTG